CCTCCCCTGCGCCTCCAGCGGTTTCCCTCTGCGTCCGCGGCTTGTTTTTTGGGGGCGCGGGCGACTCAGCGGCGCGCGGGCAGCCGGGGGACTGAGGCCGATCGCGGTGCGGCTGATGCTCCCGAGCGTGAGGCCGGGGACGAAGGGGGTCCGTGGCTGCGGCGGTGCCGCGTGAAGGGGCGTCGGGGCGGGACCCGCGGGCCTGCGCCCGGGGCCGCTGGAACCTTCCCCTGCCCAGGCCCCGGTGGCGGGAAGAATGACCACGCTCACCAGACAGGACCTCAACTTTGGCCAAGGTAGGGAGACGGGGCCTGCGGTGCGTGTCTGGGCGGGGGTCCTGCGGGAGCAGGGTCTGGGCTGCGCGGTCTAGCCCACGGGCTTGCGCCTCCTCTGCAGTGGTGGCCGACGTGCTGTGCGAGTTCCTGGAGGTGGCCGTGCACCTGATCCTCTATGTGCGCGAGGTCTACCCGGTGGGTATCTTCCAGAAGCGCAAGAAGTACAACGTGCCGGTCCAGGTGAGCCCTCAAAATCTCGGACTGTAGAGGGGGATTTTTGTTGTTGTTGTTGCCGGTCCTGGAGCTTGAACTCTGTGCCTAAGCTTGTGTACTCAACACTAGTGCTCTATCACTTGAGTCACAGCTCTACTATTGGATTTTTTGGTAGTTAGAGATGAGGCTTATGGACTTCCCTGCCTGGCCTGGCTTTGAACCCTGATCCTCAGCCTCCTGATGGAGGTGGATTTTTCAATAACTCTAACACTTTAAGGCCTCTTTCATTTTTGACAGTCTCTGATGGCTAGACAGCCTCTTACCCCTCATCCCCAGCTTCTCCTTGCTTTCTCCTCTACCTTAAGGAAATTCAATTGCGAGCTCACACACATGTACTGGGGTTTAAACTTAGGGTCTTGGGCTGGGATGTAGCTCAGTGGCAAAGCGCTTGCCTAGCAAGCACAACGTCCTGGGTGCGATCCCCAGTACCAAAAAAGAAAAGACAAAAAAAATACAGTTAAAAAAAAAAACCCAAACAATAAACTTAGGGTCTTGTGTTTTTACCAAGACTGGCAGCTCTTATCACTCATCTACAGCTCCACTTCCAGTACTTAGGTGGTTAATTGGAGATAAGAGTCTCACCTAGTGAGATGCCAAAGGCAAAAATGCCTGTAACCCTAGCTACTCAGGAGGCAGAGATCTGAGGATCGCTGTTCAAAGCCAGCCCAGGCAGGAAAGTACAGGAGACTCTTATCTCCAATAAACCACTCAGAAAATCGAAAGTGGAGCTATGGTTCCAGTGGTAGAGCCCTAGCCTTGAGCTGAAGAGCTGAGGGACAGCGCCCAGGTCCAGAGTTCAAGCCCCATGACCAACCAAAAAATAAAATAAAATAAAAAGACAAAATTATGATAAGCATGCTGCTCATCTCCACTTCCTAGAAAGATCTCCTTAGCAGGTATTCAATTAATTTAGCATAGATAACCACTAGGTATTGGGAGGTAGGAGGAGCTTAAAGGATATACAAGGAAAAACAAGTGATAATCAGCACCTATTGAGCCTTAGGTACTAGGTACTGTGTGTAGGTACTTCATTTAATCCTCTTTTTATTAGATCACCAAGGATAAATTAAGGGATTTGCCTGATGCTATATGGGTTTTGTGGGTGTACATGCATGTGTTGGTCCTGGGGCTTGAACTGAGTGCTATCCCTGAGCTTTTTTTTCTCAAGGCTGGAGCTCTACCCTTTGAGCCATCATTCCCTTCTTTTTGGTGGTTAATTAGGGATAAGAGTCTCATGGGCTTTCCTGTCCAGGCTGGCTTTTGAAACTTGATCCTCTGATCTCAGCCTCCTGAGTAGCTAGGATTATAGGCATGAGCCACTTTGTTGAGCACTTAATGTTATTTTATTTTGTGCCAGTATTGGAGCTTGAATTCAGGGCCTGGGTGCTGACCCTTAGCTTTTTCGCTTAAGCCTGGGGCTCTACCACTTGAACCTCAGCTCCACTTCTGTCTTTTGTAGTTAACTGAAGAATCTCAGGGCCTTTTCTGCCTGGGCTGACTTTGAACCTCTGTCTTCAGATCTCAGCCTCTTGAATAGCTATAATTACAGGCGTTAGCCTCCAGTGCTGAGTACCTAATGCTATTATGATTATGTTTTGGTTCATTGTGGGGCCTGAACTCAGCCTGGCGCTGTCCCTCAGCTCTTCAGCTCAAGGTTAGGGTTCTACCATCTGAGCCATAGCACCACTTCCAGCTTTTTCTGCTTATGTGGTGCTGAGGAATCGGACCCAGGGCCTCATACATGCAAGAAAAGCACTCTACCACTGAGCCACCTTCCTAGCCCCCCAATGCTATTTTAAATGCTAATGTTGAGACTAAATTTTTGTCTTTAAAGTTCTCTTCACACGGGTAAATGCATAGTTGTTAGTCCAATAGTTCTGGGTCTCTAAGGCCGGCAGTCCTAAGGAGCATCTGGGCCAAGTGGTAGGGTGGAAGGGACTGGTATTCTCCACTTGTGCTTGGGCCTCAACAGTGTGTGGGATTGTATACAGATGTCCTGCCACCCGGAGCTGAATCAGTACATCCAGGACACGTTGCACTGCGTCAAGCCACTGCTGGAGAAGGTGAGGGGGTGCCAGGCCCTTCCTGACCCCAAGTCCTTCCTTCCCACTTTTGGGTGGAATAAAATGAGGGCCATTCAAGGTGCCTATGGCCTAACCCCCTAAAGCCCATTTCTGCACTCTGGAGACCACCGCAGCCAGTAACAAGGCTTGGGTGTGTGAACCCTATCAGGACACCTTGGGCCAAACCAGGAACTTGGGATATGTGGGATGGCTCAGAACATTCTGGATTCTTTCCATGTGTGTTCCATAAGTTCTATCTGAGCTCCTGTCTAGTCCAGACTCACCTCTGAGACTTGCTGGGCCATCCTCGGGGTTCCGCATCCTCTCCTCCCAGCCTGACCTCTGGTGCCCAATGTAGCAGTGGTCAGCAGCTGAAGAGGGTAGCAGGGGCCCCTCCCCAATCTTCCCTGGGTAGGGGGTGGACCCTACGCCCAGCTTGGGAGTCCAGGTCCCTACCTTTGCAGAATGATGTGGAGAAAGTGGTCGTGGTGATTCTGGATAAAGAGCACCGCCCAGTGGAGAAGTTCGTCTTTGAAATCACCCAGCCCCCCCTGCTCTCCATCAGGTACCCTCACACCTTAGAATGTGTTAGCTGGTCTGCTGATACTCTTATGGTTAAGGCAGGCCACTGGAGCCAACCTCCCTCTTCCCACTGGCTATGTGGCTTTAGGTAACCCTGTCTTCTCCAGGCTTGGGGACCTGGTGGTGGTATGAAGGGCTGAGGGTTTTGTCCTGGGTCTCCCTTGAGGGAAGGTGCTCAGCATCTCTCCCTCCATCCCACCTGAGGCATGGGGCTGGCTGGTCCTCAGAGGTGCTGTGAGGTTCTGGGCCCATGCTGCTGGGGCAGGTCATACTGAGCCGTGAGTCTCGTTCCCCTTTCTAGCTCAGATTCCCTGCTGTCCCACGTGGAGCAGCTGCTCCGAGCCTTCATCCTGAAGATCAGTGTGTGTGATGCTGTGCTGGATCACAACCCCCCAGGTGTGCTCATCGCGCCCACAACCTCATCCCTTCCTCCCTGCCCTTCAGAACCTAGGCCCACCCCTCCAGAAAGCTGCAGCCTTTCCAACTGGGTCTTCCCAACCCTTACAGTGTACTCTGGGGCTTGCAGGTGGGGAGGGAGGTAGGGAGGGCAGATGGGAACAGGCAGGGGCAAACCAAGCTCTCCTCCCCAGGCTGCACCTTCACAGTCCTGGTGCACACGAGAGAAGCTGCCACCCGCAACATGGAGAAGATCCAGGTCATCAAGGTGAGAGGCCACAGGCCGGGGGTCTCTGTTCTAGGTGGTCTGGATGCTGTTCGTGACAGTGCCACCAGGCCAGTGCTGCGTCTGAGCATCTAAAACCTATGGGAGCCCAGTGGAGCCATGTTTGGCTTGACAGCTCGTCCTGGCTGTGGGAAGGGGAACTTGGGGGAGGGGACTCAGCTGCGGTTCCAGCAGTGGTGCTGCTCTAAAGCAGCTCAGGGCTCCAGGGTCACCGGGGCTCCTGGAGGAGGAGTCTGGAAGGAACGTGTCTCCCTCTGGAGTCCTGGGACCCCACTCTGCCGTGAGAGGTGGCAGAGCCAGAGCTGGCCTGGCTCCAGTCCCCACCACACCTCAGTCCTGCCCACTCCTAGGACTTTCCCTGGATCCTGGCAGATGAGCAGGATGTCCACATGCACGACCCCCGGCTGATACCCCTCAAAACCATGACATCAGACATCTTAAAGGTGAGAGGTAGGGGGACAGAGCAGTTTATTTTAGGGGTGCTGGGATGAGGGCCGGATGCTCAGGCTTGGAAACACCACTGGGGCCACAGCACCTCTCCCCAGGCCTGCTAGAAATCCGGACCTGTAGGGTGAGCTCCTGCTTATCCTCCAACCCTGGCTTTCTCTCTCCTAGATGCAGCTGTATGTGGAAGAGAGAGCTCATAAAAGCAGCTGAGGCTGCGCCTGCAACCCACGGAGGCCACGGCTGTGTGTCACTGGGGTCCCCAAGCCCAGGGCAGGGACCCTGGCTCCCTGACTCCAAGTGCTCTTATTGCCCCTGTATGGCACCTTCTCCCCACAGGGCTGCTCGGGTCGGCTTGCCATGGTGGAGGAGAGGGCTGGGGAGGTGCGGTTGGGGGAGGGAGGGCGCAGCAGTGAGGGATGCTGGGCCTGCAGGTTCTCACCTGGTGGGGGAGGGCGCAGCAGTGAGGGATGCTGGGCCTGCAGGTCTCACCTCCTGGGGTTCAGTTGTTCACCCTGTGCATCTCAACTACTGTTCTGTGAGGTGTTTCAATAAAGGGCCCCAAGGGCTGATGGCTATGTGTAATGAGTGAGAAGGCAGGTGCAGCCATGTTAACGGGTGGGGTGGGGGGGGGAAGGGGAGGGAGAGCTCCTCCCATGAGACCCAGTGACCCCCACCTCACTGCAAATGCCACCCAGGCTGGGTTTTCCTGAAAATATTTATTACAACAAAGCATCAGCAGATCACCACAAGCTGGAGGTTTCCCAAGCTGGACGGAGGCAGGGCTCCTGGGGCGGGAGGCCCTGCTGAAGGCTGGAGAGCCATCTGCCTGGAGAGGCCTTTGGCTGACTAGGACAGAGGCTGGGAGAGAAGACGGCAGAGGTGGCTGTGGCCTGGTCATGGCCTGTGGAAGCGCAGCGGGAAGAGCGATGGGCTGTCCTCCGTCCCCCGCCGCAGCCTCTCGGGCCGCGGAGGGGCGGGGGCCGGGTTCCTGGCTGGTTTGTAGCTGATGATGATGCTGCTGTTGGTGACGCGAGGGCCGTACCAGCCAGCCCAGAACTGGGTGTCCTGCCCCCCGTGCTGGAAGAGGATGTGACGGACGCCTGGCGGGTAGTCTGAGAAGGTGTGGGAGACCTGGGGTGGGGGGGAATGGGAGGAGCAAGTGAGCACAGAGAAGGAGTCTAGGAGAGCTGGTTGGGGTGGGTAGGGGAGGCCTTACCTCTTTCCAGGTGGCATCGCTCCACTGTTCAATGGTCACAGGTGGGGGCTCGAAGGACGCCAAGACGATGTAGTCGGCCGAGGCCAGCTGCACCCGGAGGTGGTAGGTGCAGCCACAGTCTGCCCGGGCCGCAAACCTGGAGAGGACAGAGGACAGGGCTGAGAGCGGTGTCCCTGCCTGAGCTTGCTCCCTGTGCCCTGCCGGGCCCTGGGTATGCAGTCTACCCACGAGGTCCCTCAGTCACCCACCTGAGAGGGACACCCTGCGGGCATTCAACTGACATATGACTTTACATAGCCAGCCATGTTCCCTAAACACTACAGTGGGCCTGGGCCTCATGAGAGGCGTGTGTGGGGCTCAGACAGACAGCACCACAGGTGGTATGGCTCTTCTCAGAGCTGGTCAGGAGGCCTGGCTGGACCTGGGGTCCCCATTTGCTGGCCAGGCACTGGTGCAGGCTTAGCACATGTGCAACCCCGGGGCCACCCCCAGCACTAAAACAGCGATTTCTGGGATAATCAGGGCTGGGAGGCCAGAGTTGTGTTCGTGATGACCCCTGGGTAGAGCTCTGTCCAGCCCCACACTGGCTAATGTTCGCTGCTGACTGTGTGGGGGAGGGCAGGAGCAGCAAGGACTGGCTCAGAGGATTGGGCTATGGGGCAGCCCATGCCCAGGACAGCACTGGGCAGAGTGCATTCTGGATTCTCTGAACCAGTGGCTGGTGTGCGTGCATGTGTGCGTGTTAATGTAGAGTTGGGGCCAGGCAAGAACCCCACTCACCAGTCTTTCACCACGATGTCAGGCCGCACCGTGTCCATCAGCTCCTCCCAATAGCCCTCGGCTTTGAGATCCACCAGCTGAGACTTGAGGCACATTCTGAGGGCAGAGGGCAAGGCTTGTGTTTCCAGCCAAGTGAGCCAGGCTGGGCAGCCCTTGGGGACCAGGGAGGCAGTTCCAGGGGACCCAGGGACCCCCCCCCCCTTTCATCACTGCAGGACAGGCACTGGCTGCAGTTTACCATCTATTTCCCTGGACCTGAGCCACTGGAAACTGGAGCAGCAAGTCCGGCCCAGCTGGGTCTGGGCAGCATTTGATCCAGGCCAAAGCCTCAGTTTCCAGGGCCACATACAGTCAGTCCCTTCTGTGACTTAGCTGTAGATACCCTACCCTGCTGTAACTGCCCAGTGCTCTCCTGCTGCCTAGGACAGGGGACCAGGTTTAGTGGCTCCAGTTAGCCATGGGCACTGGTCTGTTTGGGAGCCACCTGCCTGAGCATCAGGCCTTGATTTGCCTAGGACAAAGGTAGGTATCCTGGCACTCTGCCCTCATTTCAACTTGTATTTTGTCATGGGGCTTGAATTTAGGGCTTGGGCACTATCCCTGAGTTCTTTTTCTGCCATTTTGGGCCACAGCTCTACTTCCAGCCTTTTCTGAGTAGTTTATTGGAGATAAGAGTCTCAGGGGGACTTTTCTGCCCAGGCTGGCTTCAAGCCACAATCCTCAGATCTCAGCTTCCTGAGTAGCTGGGATTACATGTGTGAGCCACCAGCGCCCAGCTCCGATTTCTTGGTCTTACTCAAAGGATGTGACGAAGTATTTCTTGACTTTGGGGTCGGGGAAGTCAGCGCCGTGGTCTCCTGGGAGGCTCTCCACCTTCCAGTGGTGTCCCCCATTGGAGTCAATTCGCCAGGACGCCATGTCCTCTGGGAAAGACAAAGGTTTCTTTTAGTATTATTTGTGCTGGTCCTGAGGCTTGAACCCGGGGCCTGGACACTGCCTTTGTGCTCACTTAAGCCACAACTCTATTTCTAGCTTTTTGGTGGTTAAATGGAGATGAGTCTCAGATTTTCTTGCCCAGGCTGGCTTTGAACCATAATCCTCAGATCTCAGCTTCCTGACGAGCTTAGGATTACAAGTGTGAGCCACCAGCACCTGGCCCATAATGCTTAGTTATCATTTTCATTGTTCTGGGGGTAGAACCCCGGGTCTTGCACATGCTTAGCAGGTGTTCTATCATGGAGTGCCAATCCCAGCTCGCCTGGGAGAAAGCATGGCAAAGTGAGCAAGGCTCACTGTGGTCAGATTTCTGGGGTTTGTGGTTCCCTAGGGGTTAGTCTGCTTGCTCCTTCCAACAGACTATCACTCGCTGCCTCTCCTGCTCTGCCCCAAATGGTCCCGATTCCTAAGGTACAGCTAATATCACTTTCATCGTCACTGTTTGGCAATACTGGATTTAAATTCAGGGCCTTGCTAGGCAGATTCTCAACTTGAGCCACTGCTCCAGCTGTGTAGCTGCAGACACCGACAGAAACCTACAGAAACCCTCCATCCAACTTCCTTCCGTGTTGCCTTGCCACAGAACTGCCAAGAGTCTGAGATGGAGCTGAGGGGCTCCCGGGAGTTTTCCCTCCGGCGCCCCCCAGTGTCGAGAAGGAGACCTAGGAGGCTTCTGGGCTGAGGACTGATTTGGCTCCCCACTGACAGACCCCCTCTTCCTGGGCGGGAGCCAGGTGGGGTGACTGGAACCCCCTGGGCTGGCAGGAGGCTCAGGGGTGTCCTGTTCAAGGCCCGCCCTTCCACCAATGTGCTCTAGACCAAGGTCACCATTACCTGGTGCATTTCCAAACCACTCTCCACCCATCTCCACACCTATTTCCTTGTGCTCTGGGAGTTTTCCAGTAGAATTTCCAGAAGCTGGGCTGGTCTGCGTTTAGGCTAGGGAAGGGCTGACTCTGGCTGCATGTGGGGCCCAGTGCAAGGCCACTGCAGCCTGGCTCTCAGGTGATAGAACCAGGCAGCTGCTCTGTGGAGTCAGGCAGGAGGGGACTGATCCCAATCAGCCAGGACCAGAGCTCTGTGCTCGGCAGTGCGGCTCTCCAGGAAGTCATTTGCAGGGTTGGAGCATGCTTTGTAGCTGGTGGAGCTCACTGTCAACTGTCACCAACTCCCAGGGGCCCAGGGAGAAAAAGGGAAATTGACCAAAAGGGTCTTGAACACAGACTAGGCCTTGTACTCTCTACTGCACAGGATGTAGTAGGTGCTGAATGGAGGAAGGCAGGAAGGGGCAAACAGACCATTCTAGGTGTGTGTGTGGGGGGGGGGTTGTCTCACACTGCAACTGCACTCACCTGTCACGCCTCCCTTCACCTACTGCAACACCAGAGGTGGGAAGACAATGACTATGAGGCCTCAGCCGAGCACCTGGCACAGAAGCCCAGGATAAACCCAGGCAGGCCCAGTGCCAGCGCCTCACGTCTGTAATCTGAACTACTCAGGAAGCCGAGATCTGAGGATCACGGTTCAAAGCCAGCTGGGGCAGGAAAGTTTATGAGACTCATCTCCAATTAACCACAGAAAAAGCCTGAAGTGGCACTGTGGTTCAAGTGGTGAAGCGCTAGCCTTGAGCAAAAGGAACCCAGGGACAGGTGGATCTGTGATGTGCCCTGAAAAAGCATCCTTGTCACTCCATGGGGTGACAAGATCCACGGTGCCCTGAGAACGTGAGGTCTGTAGCAGAGGGAAAGGGTAGGTGCCTGTCGGGACAGGTGGCACTTCTCATACTAGGTTATATAACTCATAACTACGTTACAGGAAGTGCCATGAGGGCAGTGACAGGCAGGGGACACTGTTTCTGGATGAGTGGTCAGGGTAGATCTCTTAACTGACCTGAAGAATTAAGGAGAACCAAGGGAGCTTGGTAGGAGTGAGGGGCATGAGACCATCCCAGCAAAGGCCGCGAGGTTCAGGAAGGAGAAAGGACCCATGCTGTGGCAGTGTAGCCCACCTTCAGCACAGGGGTTGCGCAGGAGATTCCTTTGCAGGCTGCGCAGGAAGTAGAAGATCTTCCAGTCGGCCACAGGCTGGTCCCAGTCCCGGGTGATGAAGCCGTCGCGCAGGCACTTGCGCTTCCAGAGCGTCACCAGGTCGATGAGGTCCCGCCAGAGGCTGCAGACCGGGCGGCAGCGCAGCAGCAGCTGGCGGGCGGGCACGTGCGTGAAGAGCTCCAGCAGGATGTTCTCGGGGAGCTCGTTGATGTTGATCTTGGCCATGGTGGTGGTGGCTGGGGGTCGCTCTCAGGCCTGTGGGGACAGCAGCAGTGAGCCAAGAGCAGGGAGCAGTACTGGGGTGTGCATGTGCACCCAATCCTAGAGATACAAGTCTTAAAGCTGGGCTCCGGTGGCTCATGCATATTGAAGTAAGGAGGTCAGGTCTGGCCAGCGCCATATTGGCCACATGGTGGATTGTAGGGTCTGAGATCTAGTCTTTTTATGCTAGGGGAAGAAAACTTCCTATCACCTGCCTCCCAGGTGATGGGCGTGCCCAGATCCCTGGAGGCAGGAATGGGCACTTGGCTGATAGGTTACTAAACTTGTCAGTCCAGTGCCTGGGACTGGGAATTTCCTGTGGATCTGTGTCCCCCCCCCCCAACCCCCTCCCGACCTACTTAGGCCCGGATAAGCCTAGAGGCCATTACACGATGCCACGTGTCTCCATGATTATCTCCTGTGTCCTGTCTCTGCCCCGTCTCCTGGCTCATCTCCAGCCATCATGGTGTACCAATTCAGCTTTCCATTGGAGCTAACTTGGATTGTTGGTATTGTTTTGTTCTTTCCTCTTTAGCCTGTTTCCTAGCTGTGTTACGTGTATTTGGGGACTGCAGACCTTTGTAACAACTGGCTGCCTGCAGCCTGCTAACTATAATAAAGACTCCAATATTTCATATTCCAAAAATGTGGCTACTGGGATAATTTACCTTACAACACTATAATCCTAGCTACTCAGGAGGCTGAGATCTGAGGATCAGTTCAAAGGCAACCCAGGCGGAAAAGTCGCCATGAGACTCTTATCTCCAAATAACCACTCAAAAAATGAAGTAGAGTTGTGACTTGATTGGTAGAGTGCTAGCCTTGAGCACAAAGAGGCTCAGGGACAGCGCCCAGGCCATGAATTTAAGCCCCACAACTGACCAAAGGGAAAAAAGTCTTAAAGCCTTTCTGCTATCCTAACCAGGCATAAGCCAGTAATGACCAGCCATTGGGAGGTGGAGGCAGAACAATCAAGAGTTCAAAGCTGCGTTCAAAGCTGCCGGGCGCCGGTGGCTCACACCTGGAATCCTAGCTACTCAGGAGGCTGAGATCTGAGCATCACGGTTCAAAGCCAGCCCGGGCAGGGAAGCCCATGAGACTCTAATCTCCAATAAAGCACTAGAAAACCGGAAGTGGCACTGTGGCTCAAGTGGTAGAGGGCTTCCTTTGAGCTGAAGAGCGCCAAGAACAGTGCTCAAGCCCAGAGTTCAAGCCCCATGACTGACCAAGAAAATAATTCAGGGCTGGGAAGGTAGCTCAGTGGTAGAGTGCTTGCTTTGCATGCATGAAGCCCTGGGTTCAATTCCTCAGCACCACATAAACAGAAAAAGCCAGAAGTGGTGCTGTGGCTCAAGTGGTAGAGTGTTAGCCTTGAGCTGAAGAGCTGAGGGACAGTGCTCAGGCCCAGAGTTCAGGCCCATGACTGGCAAAAAAAAAAAAAGAGTTCAAAGCCAACTGAGACCACAAGGAACTACAGTTTTTATATTAAAAACAAAACAACCTAGCTACTCAGGAGGCTGAGATCTGAGGATCACAGTTGGAAGCCAGCCAGGGCTAGAAAGTCTATAAGACCCTTCCTTATCTCTAAGTAACTACCAAAAAAGCCAGCGGTGAGTCTGTTGCTCAAGTGGTGGCATGCTAGCTAGCCTTGAGCAAAAATGCTCAGGGACAGTGCCCAAGCTCGGACTTCTAGCCCCAGGACCAGCACAAAATAAATAAAATGTTAAAAGAGCCTTTTGAAGCTAGTTGGATGCCCGGTAAGATTTCCCAGAGGTGACACAGTGGGGTGCAAATTCCTTGAGGGCTTGGCGATGGAGATCTTCACTGTCAGAATACCAGGGCTGGGAGTGTGGCTTAGGTAAAGTGCTTACCTAGCATGCATGAAGACCTGGGTTCCATTCCTCTGTGCCACAAAAAGAAAAAGCTCTTGTGGCAGAGTGCTAGCTGTGAGCAAAAGAAGCTCAGGAACAGTGCCCAGGCCCTGAGTTCAAGCCCCAGGACTGGCAAAAAATGAAAATACAAAATACAATTATCCACTGCTCACCTAGAGGAGCTCAATCACACATTCCTCCAGCCAGGCCTGGGAAGGCCAGGAATGTGGCTGTACGAGCTCCAGGACTAAAGTTCCGCCTTGGGTGAGGTTTGGGATGAGACAGGGAGGGTTTTACCTGCATCTGGCTGGTATGGAGAATGTGGTCCACCTCTGTGGGGCAAGCTTTTCCCAGGCTCTTCTGAGGGTGCAGACAGGGCCCAGAGGAGGCTCTGTCTTGTCAATCCTCAGGGCCAGAAAAAGGATCTTTGGTCCCTGTGGCTATGCTAGGGAGGGACAGGAAATAGCTTCGTAACAAGTGAGATCAGACCACTTTAAAGTGTTGACAATGCACAGGGAAGCGGAGGCTCTCATCCTCCATTAACCACCAAAAGCAAGCCAGAAGTGGAGCTATGGCTCAAGTGGTAGAGCCCCAACCAGCCCTGAGTGAAAAAGCTCAGGGACAGCGCCCAAGTCCCGAGTTCCAGCCCTAGGATCCGCACACAAACACCTGTGGAACTAGCTCACGGGGCACCCCGGGGGGCCAGGCCGGCCGCCGGGGGTCGCCCCCCATCCCGTCCCCACCTAGGAAGCGGACGTCCCACCAGGTCCCGGGTCCCGGCCTGGGCA